GGAAAACCCACAAAAGCTTCATCTGACAACGATAATAGCACCTATGCTGACACACATTATATTACCCTTTCGCCGGCCCTTTCGCCGTGCTTTCGCGGATCTTTCGCGACCACAGAAAAGCACTGATTTTGCTTCTCACATGTTTCGGCTTTATATAAAATGTAAACAAGGGTTTTAGGACGGCCCCTAATAAGGCTTCGCCTTGCGGGGCATCATGCACATCCACGTAACTGCAGCAAAAATGTGGAAGGGTGACAGGCTTTGAGCCTCTAGACTCTAGACTTTAGCCGTCTCTAGCCTCCACTTCGGTGAAGCCCAGCTTCTTCTGCGCCGCAGACACATTTGCGTCGTCAGCCATGGCAAGGCGTTGTGTCTTACCTGATTTACCTGCTTGGCTTGTCTGAGACTGTGAGTCTTTTAGGGCTTGGTGTGTCGCGGTAAGAGTCTGGGAATCTTTATCATTCGCCGCGTCTGACCTCCACAGAGACTTGCCGAGCAGGTCATGCCGGAACAAAGCCACGTTGCGCAGATGGCACAACATTCCATCCTCGCAGCTTTGAAGCTCGGTGTCGGGCAGCTTGTTTGAATTCACAACCAGCCCAGAGGTTGCCTTGAGAACTGCCCAAATGCAAAGTGCCGCGAGAAGCGCCTGAAGATTGAACGCTGAGGCTGCAACGTCAAGCGTCTCCACCAACCAGCCTGGTGTCAGCCACTGACAGTTGGGCAAGCATCCTGTCACTTTCTGTTTTGTTGTGTCTTAGTTGCCATTGCAGGGGTGGAGAACTTCAGCTGAGAGACGATTGAGATCGTCATACATCTCTGGCAACTCCTTCCAACATCTTGCACTGTGAACAGGCCAGCTTCACAACTCGCACCGTTTGCATCTTGTGGTAGCGCTCCTCCGCCGGATTTCTCACAATGATTTTGAACTCAAGCTGCTCATCCATCGCAGAGTCCTTACAGCTTGCATCCATGCGGGAGCTATCAGCGCTCAGTGTCCCGTATGCGCTTGTTGTCCAATGAGACAGCAGCGACAAGAACGCGCAGCATCAGAACTTCCACCTGGGCTGTGCAAGCGTGCTCGTGTGTAGCGCCCCCTTCGTGCCAGCTGACCAAACAACTGCCCTTCACAGAGGTTTCGAATGACTTCAATTTGTTCGGATTCTCAGGCTGATTTGCTCTATGCTTACTGGGTCCCACGATTGACATTCTGTATGATGTATGTCATCTGTTTTTGGGTGCATTCTCCATGCGTCCATGCTTGGGGCGAATCAAAGCCGTGTTGGAAGTATGGTGCAGCCGCTGGACCATCCCCTCCGGAGCGCCAACGCCGAAGATCTCTGTCCTTGGCTGATACGTACGCAAAAAACTCTTTGAGAGTCTGCTACCTTAACAATATGAGAACATCATGAACATGGTGATGGCTGCTGTAAGTCTGCCGCAAATTCGATCTGGACTTCATGACGGCCTGAAGAAGTTATCTTCTGACTCTCTTTTTCCGCTGATGTTGAATGTGTTCACCGACCACCTACTACAGGACGAGGACATGCTTTGATCTACTGGAAATCACTTTTACCTTCACCCCTGCTTCATGGGGCTCTTAGTCAAAACCCGCTTGTGTTGATTCCACTCTGCCGCCACATCCATTTGCAAGTTGCGAGGATCTTGTTTGGTACAGCTGTTCCACTATGCCTCCCGGAGCACGCAACGTTTTGCAGACCTTTCATGTCATCCAAGGTCACCTATTGCTCAGGACAGACTAAGGCGTGAAGCGTTAAACATGCTGGTGGTCAGTGGGCCATAGAGGAATGGCTCTCTGTAGTAGTCCTTACATCATCCTGAATCATCGCCGTTAGTCCCCGCAACCCATTTCTTCATTCCAGTTTCCTTCCTTGCTACCATCAGTCACCAGCAAGTACATTTCGGAAGCCTGTCAGGCCTGAGTCTCCAGCACTGGCTGCTGGAGTGGTAGCAAAATGCCGAGACACCTTGCTCTCAAGTGCAGCGGCCTTGCTTCTTTTGCGATCTACCTCCTGCAACTGGAGTCAGTCCAGCTTTGCGTATCTACCACTAGACTACTAGATGATGGATCCAGGCAGCTTGTGCCACGGAGCTAGGGGTCTCTGACCTCAGCTCCCGACTCCTTCGAAGTAGTCGAACTGCTGCAAGGCGTAGCCCGGGGGCAGGATCACCTTGGATACTTTCCAATCATTCCCCCGAACCTGATGCAAAAAAGGGGGACCCCAATACACAGTAGTTCTAGTTCTTGACGCCTAAACTTGGGAAGACCCTTTGAGCACCCCCAACCCTGCTCCCTGAAAAGATTGAGCACTCTGCCCTGAGAACGCTGTCTTGGAGGACTGGCACTGTGACTCGTAGAGAGAAGGTGAGCCTGAGCTGAGCAGGGCTGATATTTGGTGTTGAATGCCCCATATGGGCTTACGGTATAGGGATATAATGCCCCAATAATGGAGAACCACATGGAAAAGAACATGGAAAATCAAATGGAAATTTGCTTATATAGGTGTTTGTAGGGATCAGGCCTTCCCAAAATTAGGGGTACCTTTTTGGAGGTCCCTATAGGGATTATAGTATTTGGGGGCCTATCTTGGGCGCTCGTTTTTAGTTAGGGAAACTACCATATGAAGGATTCCTTTGGTGTATAGGGGTTGGTCTATAGGGGTATACAAATTTCTATCGGGATTTATACAGCCCATGATTTCCCAAAATTAGGGGTCCATTTTGTGGGAGTATTGCAATAAACTGGGGTCCATATTGGTGCACCCCTTTTTTTGGGAAGCTACCAGGTTGTTCTACACAGACTGCAAAGTTGGCTTGATGCAGCTGCAGCAAGGGCCCACGCACATTGGCTGCGCCTGCCTCCAAGTTGCTGTAAAATCGCTCAGCCTGGAACCACTTCAGTTCATAGCTAAGCCTCTTGTAGACGGACGTTGGGGCTTGGATAGATTCAACCCACTCAGGCCCATGCAGACAGGAACAGGCCACCGAAAGCACCCGGCCTTTAAGCTAGCGCAATGGGCCCCTTAATCCCAAATGCACCAATCCACAGCTGAGGTGGAAGCCCTGGTAGACCGATGCCATGGTCTTGCTTCAGCGGCTCCAGGCCACTGCGAGAACGCAGCAGCGCCACCTCTCGGTTTTTGGATCTGCGCAGGCCATGAGAAAGTCAGAGCACGGCTGTCTGTCATCCAGATTGTTGGCAAACAGATTAATAATGAGGTTGCAGGAGAACCCGCTTACTTGGCTGCATGTCACGTCGAAATTTGGCACTTCTGGGTTGTATGGGTAGGCTTGCGGAGTGTCTTGTCGCACTCCCCCGTGAACATTAGACATCCTGCACAGCACTCTGCAAGCGCATGTCAGAAGCGCCAGCGCTTACACGGATTGCAGCGAATGGAAGTCTAGCTACTGTCATGACCTTTCATCATTTCTGGAGCTTGGGAGTTTAGTCACAACGGATCAGTGCAAACGAATACAAACTGCTGGTTCAATGCTGTCGTTTGGGTTGCCGAGATGGATGTATGATTTCAGCCCTTGGCTTCTAGGACGCCTTGCCTCTCTGAATTCCTCTTTGCAGGAGCTTGCTGCGTTTGCTTAGTTGGGCTTTTCCACAAATGAGGATCCGATTTTGGGATTCCATTATGGTGAGGATCGGAGTGCTCTAGGGTAGAGATGGTAGACGAAGGGGACCCCTGGAAATCCCCATGTAGCTTGAAAAAAGCATGGAACGAGGACATGTGACATTTTGCACCAATGCTCTAAGGTTTACCCTAAACTTGAAGGACCCACAGCGCTCCTGTGAAGTTGTCTTCTCCAACTTACATTGGATGGTGATGAGGAAGAGCAGGATCTATGCTCGACCCAGACATATAGTATGGGGCAGCTGTAAGCTTTCTGCACTCGCCTCCCATCGGCTTTCCTTGGCAGCATATGGTGGCCGAGGCCTCCAGGATGCAGCTAGCACCATGTGGAGAGTAAATCCGGTTCCAAGCATTGAGGCGCTAGCACTGTGAAATTGGCCACATACAGAGTCACCTGGTCCTTTATGGAAGTGTCAAGCCTTGGGTGCTGTCTGCTGCACGGCACATTTTTGAGTCGAGGGAGCATGTCTGAAATCCAAGTGCTGCACAGGACACCAAGCAGCGTGAGCTCGTTCAACCTTGTACTTCCACGCTTGGCTCCAAGTTTCTTTGAAGAACGACTCTCGACAGATCTTGCATGAAGCATGCCATCCTTCGAGCAGAAAAGAGGCTGCCGCTGACCAACGCATCGCGGCTCGCCGGCAAAACTGAAG